CTTTAGTTCCATTTCCTTTTAATTGTTTTCCTTCTCAGTATCGGCAACAAGTATGACTGAAGGTTTCATATTGTTTTAAATCCATGTCGCCTTTGAAAATATTTCCGCACAGGTGCAAATGCTACTGAAGGCTAGCCGTCGAATAACATCTAGCGCTAACACCATCTCCTCAGCCAATCGCAACATTTTAGCGCATGGAATCGGGCGTAACTCCCCCTACTGATTGGCTGGTGATAAACCACGCAAAAACCACAAAACTTAGTGACTAGAGCTCCAACAAAAGGACACGGTATGCTGATTTGTCACAGTAATAGGCGCCTTGTTAATTAAACAGTCTTCATAGAGGTATCTGCATTTAGAGCACTTTAAAGAAAAGGAAACAAGCTTATTAACAAGAAGGTCGACTGCTATCCAAGCCCTTTGTAGCGTGTATTTTCACGATAGATGAATGGCAGTTTCGTTTCGTTGCAGTAAACTTCAGTATAAAACTTACCTTATTCTAGAGATAATGAGACACGCAGCTGCGGTGAACCACGCTTTTATGAAAAGCGTTGCCGTATGCAACGGTGTAGGTGGTTAAGTCTCGGTTCTGGCGAGTTACGAATCCGAGTCATGAAGGGCTGGAGTCTCGAGAAGTGAGATCGCCGATGCAGACTATGTGTACACAGCATTTGCATAGAGTATGCGTAAGTGCTTACTGTCAAGATTGCGAAGGCCTAAAAATCCACTTTGGTCATCACTCTTATACATTTGTATCACTCAGAATGATCGTGATTTATTAGTGAGTACTGGTGTGCATAAGTTTTGTCTCAATGCACTGTTTATCAGCGAGAAGGACTTTACTTAATGCAAATTAAGCAATTTCTTAAAAGCTCTAAAGTCCAATTAACTACCCAAAGAAAACTTTCAATACATATAAAAACGTGTGCAATTTCTAGAGTTGTAAATGTGTCCAGAAATTTTCACCTTCAAAAGACGAGAAAAACTTACGTCTACCTACCTATACTTCCACCTCACTCTAATTTTCAGGTACCTATTCAATTTTTCTGCATAGTCAGTTG